AACCCTGTTACCTCCAGGAGATCTAAACGACTCCTCAAGGCAAGTGGGCATGGGGAAAGAAGAAGATAAGCAGTTATGTAAGTTAGCAAAAATAAGACAATAGACAAGCCCTAAGGAAATAGGGGCTTCTTGGTAGAGGTTCGTACAAGGCCAGCACCTAGGAGCGCTCAGAGAAAGAGACTTCTTGTGGTGAAGTTAGATTAGCAGAAGGAAATAATAGCCTCAACATTTCCCCGTTACTTCTCATCCACATCAAGCATTTTCAGCACTCGGTGAGCCAAGGCAGAACTCAACCCCTGACTGTGGAAGAAAGATGCCTTTCCAGGGAGGTCAGCACTCATGGTTGTGTGGACCTTCTGATACATCTCCTCGAAAAAGCCTTATGTGGATCTTGGGGTAGACTTCTAGAAAGGCTCATCTTCCAACAAAGTTCTCATGTATGCAGCAACATGGCCTCCATAAACGTACTTGTGATGGACCTCAGCATCAAGTTGCTTACTCTCTTTTCCATATCCAGTGAACCTCTTGTCACTGTGAGGAAGGTCAAGTCTACCATCCAATATTCCTTTTGGGATTGAGGTCAATTTTGAGCTTTTCAAAGCAAGGATTATATTTCAAAGCACGAAATCGGAGCTTACATTCAAAAATACGGGACATTGGCACTAGCAGTTTAGAAAAGATCATGAATCAGATGTACAAAAATAGAAGTTACGATCCAAGAATTCGAGTTGTTCAAAAAAAAACCATAAATTATAGCCTAAGATCCTAAGTTTCTAAAGACGGAGTAAGTGAATGGTCTTACGGATCAGTAGGTGAAGTTCCAGTAACAAGGGCGAAGCCTGACAACTCAGAAGATAAGGGCCCAGATGACAGAGGAGCAGAATTCTCAAGGTTGCTGGTCCTAGGAGCCTCTGCTCTAGCTAGTGGCGAATCTTGGGCAAGGGCCTCAGTCACGAGGTCAGTAGAGAGGGAAATATTAATAAGAGCAGTTACAGGAGAGGACATTTCAGTGCCTTCTGAAGCCACAACAGAAACGGCAGGAGCGAAGGGGTTATCATCATCCTCTGAGTCAATCTCCTCCAGCTCCTCCTTAGTAGGGATAGCAAAGTCGAAGTCGAGGTCTAGATAGGTCTTCTCCGCTTTGCGCTGAAAAGCCAGCCATCCTGAGGCCCACTTGGTGGTGATATCATCCTTTAGCTCGGTTATTATGTCATCCCTCTCCTTGGCAGTTATTTTTTGTACCTCGAGCTCACTACATAAGCTCTCATTCGCCTCAGTCAGGATAACATATTCCTTTTTAAAGTTCTCGAGGGAACTCTGAGCATCGAAAGCTTCCTGGCTAGCTTTGGTCCAGGCATTGGTTTTGAGTAACAGCTCTTCCCTGGTCATCCTCAGCTCATCCCTAACCTTCTTCTCTCTTTTCTCAACCATATCCTTAGCAGCTTGAAGGCCTTCGTAGTCAGAGGCCTGCTTCTCCATTTGTTCCTCGAGCTTTTGCACCTGAGCTCTGAGGCTCTCATTGTCAAAGGTCAGCTCAGCGACCTTAAACTCGTATGTCTTCAAAGCTTTGGCAAAGTCCTCCGAAGATTGGACCCTGCCCATCAAGTTCTTTAAATGAAGAGCCATCTATGGACAAAAAAAGAAACAGGTATAGATCAGCATAATATAACTGCACCGAGCTAAGAGCAAGTGTAAAAATGCTTATAGTGGTTGCTCTTTGAAAAGCTGAGCAGAAAGAGGCTTCAGGGGACATGGTAGAGGCCCTCTGAATATCAGATTTAGGGAGAATGGATGAAATGGCCCCGGCAGCCAACTTAGCGTTGTTGAAGAAGGAGTTTTCATTAGTCTCCTAGCCCTCCCTCTTTTCGACTTTGGGACTCCAGAGAGGCAGCTGGGATGTTTGCTCAGATGGGCCAGAGGGTGCAAAGTCTGGCTGAATTCTAGTAACCAGCCCTAAGACTCCCTCAACCTCAAAAGAGATGAGAGAAGCCAACCCTAACTTAGAAGCCTTTTTGGGGCAAATTGGGCCCCTTGAAAAGGAGAAGGGGCTAGGGATTGAGATAAGGGAGTTAGTCCTGCTTTGCTCAACGCCGGAGAAGAGGGCATTTCCAGCTTCTGCACTTTAGCCCTGTCAGCGAGGTTGCCTCCAGAACTGGTCTCAGCTTTCCGTTTACCACTTTTCCTACTCTTCTTCAATAGGTCAACCTTAGATTGGAGTTTCTCAGGGCTAGATTTCATTATAGAGGAGCCTGGGAGATTTGAACCAAGCAAGTTAAATAGAAGAGAGGAAAAAGAAGGGAAGGCAAGGGAACCAACTCAGGAAGTGTTACCTTCTATGTCTTTAGGTCTAACAATTGAGATAGGGAGCGGAGTTTCTATCGATACCATAGGAGGACTAAATGCCTGTGTTACTAAGACCTAGGGCTTGATGAGCTCGGAGTACTTCTCTGGATTGCACTTCTCCAACTTTCGCTTCACCCTCTCGTCCTCAACACTGAGCTCTGGTTGAATGCCTGAAAAACAACACAAGGAGAGCAAAGGTCAAAAAGGCAACTCAATAATTTCCAAACCAGAGCTCAATCAGTTTGAGCAAGGGTTCACCTAAGTTATCAGGGGCGGACCAAGTCCTAGGGATACCCAGAGTATCAATCTTGTCAGCAAGGTTGTACTCTCATTTGGTGCACCCAACAAAAAAAGAATTGTTTCTTCTAACCCTTATGGGAGCTCGGGAGGTGAGTAATGATCTGTCTAGCCGTGGTTTGCTTGGAGATATATAAGAAGCCATCTGATAAGGTGAGCTTGACATTGAAAAAATCCACAAGCAGGGAAAGACTGGGGACCCCGAACCCATGTATCTTAAATAAAACAACAAGACGCACAAGTACACCCCAGAAATTAGGGGAGAGCTGAGCAGGGCAGACGTTGAAGTGTTGCAGAACACTCTTGATGAAGGGATGCCTAGGGAAGCGAAGACCATTCTCAAAAGCGGCTATAAAGAAACACATTTTCTTATGAACTTGGGCAACATATGAGGTGTATTTATTTGGGCACCAGGGCTGGACGCCAGAAGGAAAATCGTAATGAGCACTGAGAATTTTCACAAGAGGAGAGTCAACCTCACTGAGACCTACGAGCTCAACATGCCTAAAGACAGCCCTTGTGCTCGATGCGCTGTCAGAGACTCCTACCCCACTCACCTTGCCCTTACCTTTGTTAGGATTAGGTTCCTCAGTATTTTCCTCGGCATCGACAACATCTACACCAGGTAAATTGTCAATTTCCTCACCCACATCCCCTAAATCAGTGTCCTCTTTGGCAGACCTTTCCCCCAAGAGAGAAGCAGAGGAACGAGTAGCTCTGGAAGGAGTAGACATGACTGGACAAGAAAAAGGCAAATTGAAAGAACAGTAAAGAGGAGGAATACTAATTAAGCACTTCCTGATAGCCCTAGGGTCAATGTTGTAGCTTCCAACAGCAATGATTCGCACGATAGAAGACCAGTCCACGAAGTGGGGAAAAGGAGAAAAGCAGTAATTTCGATTCCAAAAATAAAAGAACCGAAAAGCCCAGAAATGCAATGGCCACCTCGAATTCGAGGGATCTAGAACGAGAAAAGGTAAAAAAGGGACAAAAGGGCGTACCTAGGTAGGAAAGAGCAACGAACAGCAGCTTAGAGCGAAATGGAAGAAAGAAGGCAATGCGAATCTTCATATCGAACCCACAAAACTTGATCTTGAACGAGGAATCAGAGAACTCCAAACCAGAAAGCCAAGGAATCACAAGAAAAGAGAAGCAACAGAGAAGTTGAACAGTGGAATAGGGCGATTTAGATAGCCGTTTGAGCATTTAAAGCTTGAGAGACATGGGCTGGAACGTGCATGGGAAACGAGGAAGCCATGATTGCTGAAAACTGTCAAAAAGACCTCACTCACGTGCAAGCCAAGGTTAGTAGCGTGCAAATCCAGCTCGGTTTAAAAAATGGCTCAACCCCTACCCAAGCCCGCTTGAACTAGGGGCTGGGAGGCAACTGATGATACCTCAAACAAGCCCTAGCTGTGAGCTCAAGTCAGGAGGTCAGGAAAGACACGGGGAACTCAGAGAACCAAGCGTAGAGCTCCCCTTGGGGAGATCGTAACAGAACCGACCAGGAAAGAGCTGGATGATCACAAAAATTGGGCCCAATGCATGAAACTCTCAACCAACCAAGATTCTCTCCTAAAATCAAGGAGGATTCCATGAATAATGGGCAAAAATCTCGGCTAAAATTCCACAGAATAGGGAGCAGCCTTATAAATACAATGTAACGCCTCATCAAGGAGGAGGACCCTAGAAGAACCCTAATTAGATCATGCATTGTATTGTAATACATTCAAGTAGTCAATAGAAACAAAAAGGAGCGAGAGCCTCCATTATATAGTGGATTAGCCGAGCTCCAGAGTCGGTGAACCACTATATTCTTACTGTGCAAATTTCCCTATCCCCTAAGAAACACTTCATTGTCATTATGAAATTGGCAGCCTAAATTTACCTTTGGTCCCACACACTCTTTTCACCCATGTTAATCAGCACCATCATGATATATTTGTCCATTAATATATAGGGTTACAATGTATTCATAAATGTTTTTTTTTTATATTTTAATGAGTTGTAACAGCAATTGATATAAAAGTGTTATTTTTTTTTTGCTTAGAATGGAATTGAAAGTAATTTATAAACCAAATATAGTGGCGCATTTGAAAAGATAAAGGTATAATAGTCAATGATAGCCTATTACAACACTTTTTATCCCTGAGCCCAACAGAAGTGTGATCTAGCTAAACATTAGAAAGGATTGGAGATACTCATTTACATCCAATCCACTCCAAGTCAGGGTTGATTTGGGTTGCATAGGAAATAATATTTGTTTTAGATATCCAATCTACTACAACTCTGCCATCAAAACACTCCCTAAGATCCTTTGCTTTCCTCCTCACAACTTCTGCTTCACTCTCCACTACTACCTTTCTTATCACTCATGCAATTTCTTCTTTGTGAAACATTCCATTTTTGTCCCTCACAACCTCCACTCCCACACACAACCTCCTCCACCATTCTAGCATTCAATGGTTGGTCAATATGCATGGGCATGGCTACAATTGGAACACCAAACTTCATGCTTTGCATTATAGAATTCCATCCACATTGCCTCTCAAAGCCACTAGTGCTTGAATGCCCCAAGATTTTAGCCTGTGGAGCCCATCCCTCCATAACCATTCTTCTCTCTCCTACCTTGACCAGCAACCTCTCTGGCAGGGCCAGTCCAATAACTAGGTCGAAATAGTTGTCATTTTAGGTTCCATTTAAAATGAAGGCTTCATTTTTTATAAGTTTTCAATATGATCCAAACCAAAAATGTAAACTCAAATAAAATTGAGTACAAACAAAAAGACCCTATGTAGTTCAAACTAACAAAATATTTCTAACAAAACTGGGCCCAAAAGCCTAAAAGTGTTTGTGGCATAGCAAAAGTAAAAGGCTCATAACCTATTTGGTTAAACACATGAAATTTTAACAAAAACAAAAAAAAAAAGTTATATGATTGCCACATGCAAAAATGAAAAAATCGTTCAAAAAAATAATCAATATCATTAATTACTTTCTCTAACTAGTCAAAAAGGTCAATTACATCAGTGTAACACACTCTTTCTCCTATGTCTCTCCTATTAAAACATCAACCCCCACCCCCCTGTCTCTCTCTCTCACACACACAGAGACACAAAAAAAAAAAATTTATTTCCATCTAAAAACAAAATAAAGGATTCTCTCTCTCTTTTAGCTTGTGACCGTCTTTCTAATTCACACAATAAAGGTCATCAAATGAGCCCCGGTATATTACTTTACACTCGTACTTTCTCTTTTTCAATGTTATTTTGTACAAAAAATAGCTCCAGTCAACTTATTGTATTTGTTTTATTTTTTTATAGATGATATTAAAGGAGAATCACATTATAATATCTTAAGTTTTAGGAGCACTAATAATAAAATTAAGTGTTATTGTTTTATAATTTTGATTTTTATTCATTTTTTTCTTATAGAGAGTGTTTGATTGATTTATAAAAAAAATTGGATTGTCAAAAAACTATGGCTACTTAAAAACAACAGTTCAGACACGAGGAATTTTAAAAAAGAGAGAAAAATACAAAAACTTACTGAATCACAAAAAAATTAAAAAATTTACTATTAGTAATGAAAAAATAACAAAAGATTTAAGTGAAAATTTTGAAATAAGCAAGTGATATATCTTAAATAATTAGAAGATATTGAATTATATGATAACAAAATAACAAATAAAATTTTTATAATGATCAAATATGTAATATAATAATGGGTTAATTGCACTGGAGGTCTCCAAAGTATGAAATTTGTCTCATTTTAGTCCCCAATGTTTCAATTGCATCATTTTGGTCCCTAAAGTATTAAATATGTTTTTATATGGTCCCTTAAGTAGACAGTGTCCAGATTGCTAACGATTTTTTATCATAAATTTGTCACGAATATTCAAATATGGACAAAAAAATAATTTGGATAACTCTTGACCAAATTTTTATTCAAATTTTGTTAAATAGCTATCTAAATTACACAGTTTTGATCATGAGTTATCCAAATTTTGGTAAAAAATTATTTATATTACACATTTGTTTGTCAAGAGCTACCCAAATTTTGTTTAAGAGCTATTAAAATTATTTTTTGTCTATATTTAGGTATTACGTGACAAATTTATGATAAAAAATGTTAGCAATCTAGACGCTATTTGCTTGAGAAATCATATAAAAACATATTCAATATTTCAGGGACCAAAATGATGCAATTGAAACATTAGAGACAAAAATGAGACAAATCTCATATTTTAGGGATCTCTAGTGCAATTAACTCTATAATAATTCTTGACCATGAAGAACATACAAAAACATTATTAGTAATTTTGAATTTTAAAAAATAAATAAATAAATAAATAAATAACCCGCTTAGAATGCTCACTTTAGGCCCCAAAACAGCTCGAGCTGCCCCTGAGTATAGGTGATACTAATCCTTATTTGTAAAGAGACAATAATGAAATATATTTTCTAGAATTTTTGTCCCTTTTTTTTCTTGGGGGGAGGAGGGGGAGGGGAGAGGGGGACTTGAACCCTTGACCTCAAGAAGACAAAACTTTTACAAGGTAAGGAGTACCATTAGACCAAAGACCTATTCATAGAATTTTTTTGTCTAAATCATTGGTTTTACCACTAATTTAGGTTATAATAATACCTTTGTATTCTATTTGTTATTTCATTTTGTAATTCCGAATAAAAAAGTGGTATCTTTGATATTTGTATTAATTGTTCCAGCATCCTTTTGCATTTTCATTATAACATGATGATCCCATGATGCGTAGAGATTTGTGATAATAAGATCCCATTTGACTTAGACAAAGATGAAATCAGCAAAAATAAAAAATTATTATTATTTCACAATAAAAATCTCCAAGTGACCTAGATTGTAAAATCATATATATGTCGAGAGGTATTAATATAGTTTATTCCAATATTAATCAAAGGAGAATGCTCATGTCATTCCAATTAAAATAATTCTAGACTGACAATAAAATGAGACCAAAAATAAAAATTAAATGATATGTCACTGTAATAATGATATTTTAGTCTCACTTTTAATTCAAGATTCAGTTACCATGTTAGTTGTCACACTTCTTTATGTTGTGATGTATAATGACAGTGATCGGTGATTTATTTAAACCTTGGCGTTCCAAATCATGGTAGAAGGCACTTTCAAGCCCTATACCTTTCTCAACTCTACAAAATAAGTAATACTACAAAATATGTTATTTTGGTAGGGGGAAACTTGACGTGAATCTTCTCCCATGATTATACTCGTGGATCAATAGACATTTTACCTAGAGGGAGGGGTGAATAAATTTTTCAATTTAACGCTCAATTGATTACCAATTAAAATTTAATTTGATCACAATTACCTTTTCCCACAAAGATATGTCAATTAATGTGAGAACTCCTTTAATCACTACAACCCAGCTTAATCATGATGATTGATTATTAATTAATATTTAATTAATTCACTCAAGCAATCAATCTCTCGACGATCTCAAAATAGAAACTCAAAGCACAACTACGGTTGAATAAATAGTCAATCAATCATTTCAACAGACACATAGCGTGCGTTTGTGCTAGCAATTGCAAGCGTACATGCATAAGTAATAAATAACATAAATGCTTTGTTGACGTGGAAAACTCTCATTGGAAAAAGTTGTGGGAAACCATTCGGGATTCACCCAAACCTAATTCACTACTCACAAAATCAACATACAAGTATTCAAGTCTTATACCTCAACTAATACCATGGGTAAATGTTCATTTCCTTGTTGTCTCTCAGCCCTGCTTCGACATCTTGCATAACTTTACTTGGACTACTCGCCACACGGTTCGTCTAGACCTTGAGCAATCATGGACACGCCAAGAGTTATCGGTATGCACACACCAATGGTTTTGTCAAACAATCAAGATCTTCAATTCAAAATTATGAGGTTTGGTAGATTCTCTAGTGGTAGCATTGGATTTTAGAGATCTAGGTTAGTGGTGCAAGCTCTCAAGGTTGAAGATGAAATTTTTCTCTTAGAAATCTCACAAGAGGCTTAACCTACCTATAGGAAAGACTCTTACTATTTATAGGTCCAGAATAAAGGTAGTCTTGATAAATAAGAAAACTTAGAGTCGTGAACGACCGCCTAATCGATAGAAAGGGTGGTTTTAGGGCAATTATCGCTAGAATGAAAATCACGTTGACCGCTCGCTCGATCACTTGAGTGAGCTCATAGAGTGAGATTTGTACTCCTCTATGACTTGTTCCCATTCTATTCCTCAAGTCATAAAGATACCTCTTTAGCAAAGGCTCGCTTGCATAAATTGGTCCCTATTGATTTTTAAAGCATAGAATTAAGCAAAAAAAAAATTTCTTTTGAGCACTGAAGGGTGTTGTTCAAAAGGGGTCTGATTATGTCTCAATTTATGTTTTCAAAATACAAAATTGTTTAGAAAAAATTTTCTTTTCAAAACACCTAAGAGCTATACTCGGATTGCTTCTAATTCTATTTTTATCCTAATCATCCTAAGATAAAATAACAAAGGGTTCATCTTACATGTCTAGGTTATTATCTTTGTCTTAAGTATGAAGGTGCATACGGAGTTCAATGATGCTTTCAACTCTTTAATTTGATAGCATCAAGACCATGGAAAAGATTGATTGATATTTAGAATGGAGTCCACGAAATTAGTCAATTACAATATGTGAACTTAAAAAAATAGAATTGCACTTAAGCCCTATACCATTCTCATTTACTCCCAACAACTAGCTTTTATCACCAACTATGGAATCAAGTGGTGTTCAAAGCCAAAATGAACACAAACCTGATAACCAACTGTGTCCGAAGTGAAACTGTGTGAATTCTATTGTGTTGGTTTACACAAATAGTTGACAGTTCAAAGGCATCAAGTCTACTGATTAGTCAAGTAAATCAGATAGTCTTGGCTATGAAAAGTTCAAGGCACTACACTACTTATCTCGATGCAGTTACCTTTTTACTGTACTTGAATTAGCTTCTGGATTTTTATGCATTGAATTTTTATTCCTATGGGGGATTATTGAAAAAAATGATTTTAAACAAGATTTTTGGAGCAACTTCGGACTTAAATAAAAGTGAGACCCATACCTCAAAATTGGTGGGACCGAGTTTAAATGCGTTCTCCTCTGCGGGGAGATGAATGCCGTATATTTATTTTTTTAAAACCATTAAGTATTGAATGAGAAATTATTTCTTAAAATAATCTATTTGAAGTGATGAAATAAACTAAGATTGATGTGGTGGAGTAAGGTTTATCCCAAATTTGAAGAAGATCAATATTTTGGTGAGTTAATATACTCTTAATTGGTTTCATAGGTTGGGTTCCAAGGGGTACCACACTTTTATAAGCGGAGCAAGTGTCTACGCTACCTTGATTACCACACACGTACGTCGCCCACCTCGCCGCGATCCGACCTAGCTGGGCTTGAGCTTGGATTAAAAAGATATAATTTTTTTAGACAAAATTTATTTGGTGCGATGGAGGCTATGGGTAACTGATTCGAAGACAAATCGTATTCTAACTGAAATTTAGAAGTCCACCTGGATTTTAAATTTTTTATGCCTGTTAAATTGATTTTGGCACTTATATGGTTCATTATGTATCTGTTTAATGCAGAGGTATCTTTTCCTTTTGCTTTTATTCAGATTGAATGTATGTTTCTTCGATCCAAATAGGCGCGTCTTGTGACTCTTTAGGTGATTCAAACAGACATGAAGGGTTTATAAATAGACTGCCTCAATGTCATTCTCAATCCATCCCAATTCTGAATTCAAAATTTAGAATTTTTTCTTTCTTTTTGCATATTGCGTTTAGTCTTTCTTGTTCGGTTCAAGTATAAACACAGAATTGTGTTCGCTAGAGTTTTGAAAATTGAAGTGTTATTTCTTCAAGAACGAAATCTGTTTTATCTTTGGATACAGTTGCTTATCAACTTTAAGCAGGGGAACAAATCTGTCTTAAGAAAACTATAATTACATAGGGTTCGGATTAGTATTATTCTCTAATTTTCTGGATTTTATTCGTGCAGTTTTGTGTCATTGTAAGTGCATTACTGTTTTAATATTTTGTTTTATTAAATTAATTTACATATAACAATATACTTAATGATTTAGATTTCATAATTAGTGATTAATTCTAATTATATACATACCTTTTTTAACAATAAACAGGTTAGCGGGTATGCTATAGTTACCCCATTTTGAATTCATTACTTAAATGAAATTTACTTTCCTAGAATTCATTACTTCCTATCATGGTAGTTGGTGATTTTTTTTTCTTAGATGTGCAAGAACAAAACAATTATAATGGCATTTTTTCCCCAAAAAGCTTCTATCATAATAATGCAAATACTACCCAAAACCATATTATAACATATATGGGTGTATTCAATGCACAAGACTCCCATCACTACAGGTTTTAAAAAAAGTTGCATATACGTACGCACTGTTACATTTGCAAACAAAAAGACTGTTTCAATAAAATAAAGCTTCTACAAAATCATATAGGTAAAGCGAACCTAACTAGACCACTATTATTGGGGGACCTCCTCCGTATATTTCCTTTTGTAATATGAAATTCACTTACAAAAAAAAAAAAAAAAAAACCTAGACCACTACTATTGGACGATTAAACCTTTCTACAAAGTTGTACCAGCTCCTCCACCACCCCAACTGTCTCTTCCTCTCCTTTTATTCTTATTTTCTCACGTAGTTCACTTGCTTTCCTCCTCACAATCTCTCCACCATTCTCCACTACTACCTTTCCTATCACTTTTGCAATCTCTTCCCTGTGAAGCCTTCCATTTTTGTCCCTCACAACCTCGATACCCACACCAACCTCCTCCACCATTCTAGCATTCAATGGCTAGTCAATATGCATGGGCATGCCTATAATTGGAACACCAAACTTCATGCTTTCCATGATAGAATTCCATCCACAGTGGCTCACGAAGCCACCAGTGCTCGGATGCCTCAGGATTTTCGCCTGTGGAGACCATCCCTCCAAAATTCTTCCTCTTTCTCCAACCCTCTCAAGAAATCTTTCTGGTAATGCTTCTTCAATCTTAATTTTCTCCCCCACAGGGAACCTAACCACCCATATGAAATTGACCTTGCTAAGCTCTAGCCCGTGAGCTACCTCCTCGATCTCTTCCTTAGACAGAAAATATTCACTGCCAAAGGAAACAAAGATGGCTGAAGCTTCATCCTTTTTGTCTAGCCATTTTATGATCTCCTCATGCTCATCATTGACAGCATCTTGAACAAGTGGACCCACAGGAACTATCTTCTTTTCAACTAAAACAGACAGATAATTAATATATTTGTCCTCAATTGTTCTGAAAGTTTTAATCAGAACAATATTACATGATCGTTCCATAGCTTCATGGAAACGATCCTCTTCTTTGACATCATTTACAGAAGAGTGTAGCGCTTCACGGAGCTTATTGCCTTCGTGCTCATGAAGATATATTTCTGGGAAAGGGAATTCTTTGCCGGACTGACTGACCATGTGAAGGCAGAAAGAAACAAAAGCTGCTCCCAAGAGTGAGAAACTGAACAGCCGGGATATTGTGAGAGGAAGCTACGGCTGCTGCCCATGGCTGGTTTAAGTCATATATCAGCAAGTCTGGTTTTGGGGTCTTGACGATGTCGTCGAAGCTGTGGCTTGCCATCTCAAAAGCAGTTTTGAGCGTGGACATGAGATAGGGTGGGAGGCCATTAGTTGTGTGGTAATGAGCAGGGAGCTCAGGCAAGCAAGGAAGATGGAGTTCTACGATTTGAATCGAACGAGAGTACTTCTCATTGATTCTTTCCTTGATGGAAGCAAGGTTGCCAGGCGTGGAACACAAATATATATGGAAGTTTCTGTTTGTGAGGTTTTGGCTAGCTCTAGGAAGGGAGAGATGTGACCATGGGCTAACCAAGGTAGCATTATTACATTGATAGTGCTCTGTCAAGTATCCATGAATCTCTCTCTCTAAGTAGAAACAGGTGATATGCTATGTACTTACGCATTGAAGTACATATAGGGACATAAAACTGATGGGGCCTGTGTGGTAAGAGTTGGGTGTTCAATAATTCGTATTGATTTTTCCACTGTTATATTTTTCGTTGGCGCACATGAGGTATTGATGAAGACTAGAAGTTTTGCGCATTACCTGACCTAAGATGTTTCTGTGTTCCTTAACATTTGTCACCTACGGAATGATTTATGATCTGCTATGTTCCTTAACTTTTTGAATTAGAATTTTGTGGTCAAACACTACAAGAAAAAAGAGTTTTTACGACGTTAAAATATTGTTATAAAAAATTTATTTGTCGTCACAAATATTTTTTGTGGCGGGATTATCTCGCTATAATAAGTGTGGTCCAAAAGATTTTTACGGTAATAACGGTTTGTCTCAAATAGTATTTACAGCAGAAAGATTCTATTGTAAATAAATTATTACAAACAATTCAATACTTTTGTTTTTATCATGGCGCCAAAGGTAATCCATCAAATATCATATTTGGCTGTCGTAGAAAATAGAAGATATATTTATGACGGCAACGATGCCGTCACCAAAAAAAAAAAAATTATTATGGACCATTGGTAACCAATGTTATATATCCTGTGCATATATACACTCCATACAATTTTTTTTTTTTTCAAGAAAACAAAACTTTCACAATGGAAGGAGTACCATTAGAACAAATTGGTATCCAAACAACTACCCAATTTAATATATAGATAAACACAAAAGTAAATATAATTAACATTTCCAAAAATATAGCAGTATTTTCATATCCAAAAAAAACAATCTCATGAGTTAAATAAAATGTAAAATATGCACTTTTATAAAAACATAACGATCTATGAGTACAAAAAATTAATGCAAAAAATTGAACATCCTTCTTGAACCATCTACTCTCTCAGTGACATATGAAAAAAATATAAAGTTATTGTTACTATATTGAAATAATATTTATATACATATATATAATAAAGAACTAAAAGAAGTTAGAATATATATCAACAGAAGCAACGCAATATTTCTCTGAACGGCTTGTCCAATTATGTAAATGATATATAAACGAGTCATATCGTATATATTTCTTCTAATTTGTTTTACCAATACCTGATTCATTTATAATGGTATCGTGACGGGTCTACTCTTTTATTAAACAGATAGTTTAAGGAAGACTCAAACCCACTAATTTTATGTCGTGTTAACGGATCGTGTCATATTTTGACACCCCTAGTTTTGATATAAAAACTTGACTTTGTAGAGTCTAATTATTTTTTTTTTGAACTAGAAATTGCCTTTTGATGTTAAACTACATAATTTTATAAAATATTACCTGTAAAATAAAAAATAGTTATGGTCAATACAAATTTTTTTTAGACTTTTTCTTCCTTAAAATATAAACTATTTTTTAATCTAAAACAACATTTTAATGTTTTATGAAATATTATATACGACGGGAAAAGTAACTACCACAAATATAAAAAAAAAATTTGAATTTATAAAATATTATTTGAGACAGGAAAAACAACAGCCTCAAATATAAAAATTTCTTTTGAGTTTATGACACTATTTATGGCAGAAAAAATAGTTGCCACAAATATTAACACAAACACACTTTTTTGTAACGGCAAACACAGCCGCCACAAAAAATTGTCTCAAATACGTCTTTTGTGACGACGAACATAGCCGTCGTAAAAAATTTGTCTCAAAAGGCCCTTGTAGTGACATAAAATTTAATTTAATCGATTAATATAGTTTATAAGTGATTATATATCTATATAATAAAATATGAGTGTGTTTGAATTTTGTCCTAGTCATATTTTTCCTCTTAAAATCATCTTCAATCACTTACCTCACTCATCATCCCTTTGTCAAACTCAAACGTCAAATCATATCACTTATTTCTATCATATATTTAATTATTTATATATTTATTCCTTAAAAATATCACATCACTCATTTCTATTATATATTTAATTATTTAATATTAATTAATTTGTAGTTAATATATTTTTTAAAAAATTAATATAATGGGATTGATTTTTTGAATGCTCGAATTTTATATTTTATCGTGCCTTCAGGCACGGGTTATGACTAGTATTCTAATATGGTGTGTAACTATTAGTACAAAAGACACGACACCCTGTGGGCTAGACTAGGGCAGTTCTTACACATTAATGAAACTTATCCTCTTGTTTTTCAAAATAAGAATAAGAGCGTATAATGATACGAAAAGGGATAAAGAGATCAAATTGTTGATTTGCCTATAAATATCATTTTAAAATCCTATCCAAAACAGTTAATTCACAAAAAATATAAGTTTTAAAGGCTTCAATTAATCTGTTAATTCACAAAGAATACCAGAATAATTGCGAATAAAAGAAAAGCCCTCTCAATTATATTAGTCAAAAAATTGCTTAGCCCTAACACTTACAAGGGTATAAATAGTGCTAAAACCCTAAAACTAATTAGCAAATAACCAAACGTGACCTAATTTTCGTCAATGTAATCATCAATAATTTGAGGGCTCAAAGTGAAATTTACCCTATTTCTCCCTAAGGGAGAGAATAACATATTTTCGAACTTCTGTAGTCGGTCCCAACAAGTCTGGTAGCCGAGTCAGACCACAACAGCTAGCAACTGCAAACAAAGCTCTTGTTAGTGTTGAAAACAAAATTGCAGATTAGTCAATATGATTGAATCAGATTATTGTTGAGCCCATTGATTCTTCCCATCCTATTGATCATTCATAATTAACTTGATAATTTGAAGTATTGAATTCTCTGAATTTCTGAGTCACCAGAACACTCTTTTCGTAAGTTAAGATTATCAATATTTGAACCTTTTTCACATCACATAAGCGAAACAAGGTTGCCCCTTTTTTAATCGTTTTGATTGATTTGTTATTTTCATTTATCATATGTTTTGATTTCACATTGTATCCAATAAGTACAGGTGCTACTAATCTTTATTGTAAAGAGACAATAATGAAATATATTTCCTAGATTTTTTTTGTCTAAACCGTAGGTTTTTACCACTAATCTAGGTTATACTTATACCTTTGTGTTCTCTTTGTTATTTCATTTTGTAATTCCGGATAAAAAAATGGTATCTTTGATATTTGTATTAATTGTTCTAGCATGCTTTTGCATTTTCATTATAACATGATGATCGGATGATGTGTAGAGATTTGCGATAGTGAGATCCCCTTTGACTTCGAAAGAGATGAAATGAGCAAAAATAAAAAAAATATATTATTATTTCTCAATAAAAATCTCCAAGTGATAGTATAGTTTATTCCAATATTAATCAAAGGAGAATGCTCATGTCATTTCTATTAAAATAATTCTAGACTGACAATAAAATGAGACAATAAATAAAAATTAAATGATATGTCACTGAAATAATAATATTTTAGTCTCACTTTTAATTCAAGATTCACTTACCATTTAGTTGTCACACTTCTTTATTTGGTGATGTATAATGACGGTGATCGGAGATTTATGTAAACATTAGCGTTCCATATCATGGTAGAAGGCACCTTCTACCATTGCACTTGTTCAATTTTATTCATCATTCATAGAATTGCACTTAAAGAAACTCTACAAAATAAGTAATGCTACAAAATAGAATTGCACTTAAGCCCTATACCTTTCTCAACTCTACAAAATAAGTAATACTACATAATATGTTATATTGGGAGGGTGAACTCAATGTGAATCTTCTCTTATGATTATAAATGTGAACTAATAGACACTTTATCTAGAGGGAGGGGTGAATAATTTTTTTAGTTTAACGCTCAATTGATTACCAATTAAAACCTAATTTGACTACAATTACCTCTTCTCACACGGATATAGTGATTAATGTGAGAACTCATTTAATTACCACAACCTAGCTAAACCATGAAGATTGATTGTTAATTAATATTTAATTAATTCACTTAAGCAATCAATATCATAGCGATCCCAAAATGAAAACTTAAATCACAACTATGGTTGAATAAATAGTCAATCAATCATTTAAACAAACATATAGTGTGCGTATGTGCTAACAATCACAATCGAACATGTATAAATAATAAATAAGTGATTTGTTGACGTGAAAAATCCACTGCTCATAAAGTCAACATACAAGTACTCGAATCTTATATCTCAACCAATAAAATGGGTAGATGTTCCTTTCCTTGTTGTCTCTCCATCAAAGGCCCTCCTTCGATGTCTTACATAGCTTCACTTGGACTGTCCGCTGCATGGTTCGTCTAGACTTCGAGCTATCATAGGCACGCCAATAATTCTTGGTATGCACACACCAATGATTTTGTCAGACCATCAAGATCTTCAACTCTAATTTATGAGGTTGGGTAGAATATCTTGGGGTAGTTTTAGATCTTAGAGATCTAGGTTAGTGGTAGAAACTCTTAAGGTAGAAGATGAATTTTCTCTCTTAAAAATCTCACAAGAGGCTTAACCTAGCTATGAGAAAGACTCTATTTATAGGTTCAGAATAAGGATAGTCTTGCTAAACAAGAAAACTCATATTCATGAACTACCGCTTGATTGGTGAGAGGGTGGTTATAGGGCGATTGTCGCCAGAATGCGGAATAAAAATCACGTAACAATCTTTACTAGGAGCACTAACCACTCAAGTAACCATGAATACCACTTGAACGACCACTCGAGCGAGCTTTG